ATTAATCCTCTTGAGGTTAAACTCCATGGCATGTGAGCCCTTGGAAGGGAAAATGCCATCATTGGTGCTGGGGCAACTCCAATACTTGACTARAATCTTTGGGACTGAACGTGCCTGCACAGCTTGTGCTGGCAAGGGTAGGCATCTGCCTTGTTTCCATGTTTTTTCATGGATTTGCATCTTCTGTAGCAAGTGTTCCTTGTGGTTCAGCTGCTGAGGGCTTGCCAGGAGAGAAGATTGCTTCTGGAATGCTGTCCTTCTTCTCCTTGTCCATCCTGAGCACAGCCTCAGGGAGCAGAGTCATTGAGACAGCCAGAAACCTCACCCAGCACCAGGATCCTGCACTGGGATGGGTCTTTGTGTGAGCTCAGGAGATCCAGGAACCTCCTTTGATCCTGCTGGGATCTGCCTCCTTCCATGGGCTCTTGGAATGCCTGGTTGTGAAAGCTTGGGCTCTGTGTCTGGGTTTGGGAATTGCAGATTCAGTGAAGATGGTGGGGGTCAGAAAAGGAGGGATTGTGGCAGTGAGGGATGCAAAGCTTGGAAAGAAAAGAAAACTGAATTGTGCCACAGTTACAGAGTCATGGAATGGTTTGGATTGGAAGGGACAGACACTTCCCACTGGAGCAGGCTGCTCCAAGCCCCATCCAGCCTTGACCACTTGAACACACACTGGTGTTCACACTGGAGCTGTCCAGACCACATTCCCTGGACAGTTTGACCTTTCCCAGCTGCAGGAAGTGATGCCTTCCTTCCTGTTCTCTCCTGCTGCTCTGTTTGGTGAGTCAGGGACCTTGCAAGGCCTTGTGAATGAAGGTGTGTCCTGTCCCTGAAGCCATGTGTCCTTGGCATTTCTCWTTTTGCCTGTCAAGAGAAACACATGGAGCTCACTGGAGCAACTTGCATGTTACACCTGACACCGACTCCACATGAGATGTGTGAGCAGTGTGAGTGACAGAATAAGGATATTTTTGCTGATTTAAGTCACTTTTGCCTCCACATGTTTTGCAGGTGTGCCTGCTAAAACAGCAATATCTGGGCAGGGTGGCAAGCAGCATCCAAACCGCCCTCAACATTTAGGAAAAAGCCCTGGGAAGTTCAGGAAAGGCTTTGGAGTCAGCCATGGAGCCAGTTAGGGAATCTCAGTCTGTTCTGATGYGAGGCCATAAAGAGTGTGTGCTATCTGGGAAGCAGAACATCTGGCAAACAGGCTAATGAGAGCCAGACTGGGGGAGCTCCGAGGCAAATGCAAGAGCTACCCTGTAGAGTTGGTTTATAACTCTTTGAATTTGTAGGAGGTTACTAGTTTGTTGGAAATATTATAAATTATTATTTATTTGAACAAGTGCAGACACCAAAAACCCAYGGAATTCCAGAGTGACTTCAGTGGGACATATAATAGCTGGCTGGGAAGGATGATTTATCCCAGGCTCCTGTGGATGTTTTCTATCCCTTATTCCCCTCTCRGCTCTGCCCTGGAGATCCCCCATGGCTGCATGAGCTCCTCCAAATGAGAGGAGTTTGTTTGCTCTCAGCCCACGGAGAGTTTTTCCTTCCCCTAAGCAGGGAATTTGTTTTGCAGAGGGAGAGGTTTGGGCTCTGGAAAGTTTATGCTCCTTYTCTTTCCTCCTTGTTTTTTTGTTTTTTATTGTAATGATGACATATGGAAACTATTTACACAGGAGCATGCTCTGCTGCACTGAATGGAAATGCTGGAGTCCCGGCAGTCTCGTTCCGGATGCCTTGTGTAAGCAGCCAGCTGGTTTTGCTTTTCCTTTTTTTTTCCCCCCCCCTCTTTTTTTTTTTCCCCTCCCTCCCTCTCTTTTCAGGGAACGACTGGGATAAGTCACACAAGTGCAAGGAAGGGAGCTTTGCCATCTGTGACCGGCTCAGTTCGCTTCCTTTGTCGCGCCCCTTGCGCCGTGAACTTCACGAAATGTCTGTTTTCTTTTTTGTGCTGGAGATCCCTCGCTGTGCCTGCTCAGCACTTTGCCTCCTTTCCCGTTAGCTGATCGTGCTCRCTGGTGAGCAAGTTGTGCTAAATGCCAAAAGCGGCGAGCGCAGCACACGAATCCCCRCTCCGCCACCACGCCGGTGCCTGGCGGCTTCTCGTCCCGCAGCCAAACCTCCCCAAAACTCKCCCTKGGAAACACCCAGGGAAAGGATCTCGCTGAGGTCTGAGCCACCTTCCTCAGAGGGGAGGGGAGAAAACCGTTCSGTTCTGCAGCCGGCAGAGCTTTTGTGCGGAGCTTTCCCCCGAGGAAGSCGCCGAAGCGAGGAGCAGCTTTCGGCAGGGAGGAAGGGAGGAACTGCAGCCGTGGCCGGCTGCGAGCGCCAGCGGTGCCATGCAGTGGAGGGAGCTGCCTGCCATCTACTTCGAGGATTCCGGGAGCCCCGTGGAGAGATCCTCCTATCTCATTGAGCTCCATACTGATGGTAAACGCCGTCGGGGATGCGGTGCAGCACGAGCGGAGCCGAGCTTGCATTAGTCTGTGTCATTGTTATCATGGGAGCAGCTGAGGAAATTAGCTCGCTGGAGGGCTGCCAAGCACACAGTCAGAGGGCTGCTCTTCAGATTTAGTATTATTTTTATTATTATTTATGACCCAGATGATGCTGTTGCCTCAGGGATGCTAGATCAACCTTCTGGTACCTGATGGGGAAGGAGCTGATCCACAGAATGCAGCTCCCCACTGGAACACTTCAGTGCGTTTTCTGTTGGCTGTGCCCGGTTTAGACAGCGGGAGAGCATCTTGATTTCTGGAGTTGTTTTTTTGGTTCTGATTTGCATCTCTTGAGTGCTGCTTTGTGTTTGCAACCTCGGTCTCAGAGCTGGGACAGCTCTTCTATTTCAGCTGCTGTGGGAAACACAGAGAGGGGTCCTGGTGCTGGTTTTTTTCTGGGATGTGTCTTTTCCTAGTGCTGGTCCTTTCCAAAGAGGTGAATTTTTGCAAAAGAGCTGCTTCAGGGTTAAAAGTGATTCTGGCATCTTTTGGCAGGGTCCAGTGTGTTGGTGTTTAGCTTAGTGCTACAAACCTTTGCTGTTTTTATGCTCTTAAATTTTATTTATTCTGTAACGTAAWGTCCAGGTTCTGATGAAGTTGTGCTCCTCCCGTGAGTGTTAAGCATTAAACGTGAAAAGGTTTTGCTCTCAGGCTGCAGTTTGAGGGAGTCTGCCTTTTTGAGACACATCCCCAGCAAAAGCTTTGTCAATAATAGCATTTAAGAACTTTTTAGAGCTCGCAATGTAACGCTTCTGATTTTTGCATATGGCTGTCATCTCTGAGTTAAAAAGCAGACAAACCAGAAGGCTGCCATTCCAGCTCCATGGATAAATAAAAACTCCATCATTCAGTTTTCTTCAAGAACYGAGCTAAATCAAGGGCTGTGGGGGAGGAACCGGCCTCATTCAAACATTTGTCCAGATTTTGAGTGGTATTTTAAGGGTGTGGGGGAAGCAAGGAAGAGAAACAGGCTTCGTGCTGCAGAGTGCTCAGCAACCTGAGTGTGCAGTCTGGMCGGTCTCCACAAACCCCAGAGAAATGTTATCTTAATTTGATTTGGGGGTGGGAGAGGCAGCTGTRGCTGTGTGCTGGTGAAGGGGCTCTGATTCCTTCCCACTCCCTGCCTCTGCCAGGAGCACATGGTGCCATTTCTCTCAGCGGCTGCCGAGTTGTTGGCACGGGCTCTCTCTCCACTCCAGAGGGTGTTCTGGAGAGGCTGAATCAGTAATTCATCCAGGATTATTTTGTCACAGCAAAGCTTCAGCAGGCTGTCATGAGAGAGGGAAAGAACCTCGTGGTGGTTTTTGCCCACTCTCAGATAACAGCTTTGAACGCAGAGGGAACGAGCTGCCACACCACAGCCCCTGTGCTCAGAAAAAAGGGAAAAAAAAGGGGGAAATCAGCACTTCTGTGCTGGCAAGCTCAGTTTTTCATGTACCCACTTARGGAACATGAGGCACTGGAGGAGGGAAGTCTCTTCTGAGAGCAGGAACAACCATGTGKTGTGGGAATTGATTGAAACTCTGGAGAGCTGAGAGTGTGGCCAGCCCCTCCCCAGGCCCTAAGCAGGTCTYGCTGCTCTGGGGTCTCTGCTCAGTGTTCTTTGTCAAAGGTAAAATAAAACTCTTGAGTCCCARAAGAAGAAACCAAGTGATATTCCCTTTTTGTACAGTTCTTGCTTAGTTTTCGTCTGTCTCAATAGCACTGAGGCTGCAGAATGCAAAAATGGCAATTATTTTGGAGTTTATATACATGCCCTGTGTAACTCTCCCATGGGGAAGGCACTGTGTATGTGTAGCTCTGCTTGGGCGTTGCTTTTTTTGCAATTGAATTGTTTTGGGTTTTTTTGAAACAAAATCCTCTGTTATAAAATCTGGCTCAAATGTTCAGTATGGCATCATTCTGTAGTGCTTTGCTGGTGAGGACACAGGCTTAGAAATCCAGAATTAATCTATGGGGTGTGAACAGAAAATTCATCTTGCAGTTTGTTTGCATCAGAGGGGTGTTGGTACTTATCAGCACCTCCGAGTGTTGTTTATGTGTTATTTAATGTGCTGTGAGAAATGGGGCTTTCTGCTAAAAGCACTGACAGCTTCTCTCCTCACGCTGGTGCCCCTCATCTTTCTATGGCCTCTGCTYCTGGGACAGTGCAAAAGCCTTTCGCTCCTTCAGCAAACCCTCTGTCCTGTGGTGGGTGGTGGCTGTCACCTGCCTGCTTGTGGTTTGTGATGCTGGTAGCGAGCTTCAAGCGTGACAGCACACCCCTGCTGAGCCAGGAGCCCTCAGTTCTGGCTTTAAAAGGAAGCTGTCTCTTTTGATGACCTCCCGGGAGCATTCCTGTGTGGAATGGTTTGAGAGTCTCTGTAAAGCTCCTACCTGTGAAGAGTCAATTTGTCAGAGTCCAAGCTGTCACTTYCCTGGTTACTCTGCCATCTCTCTGATCCCAGAGCCTCCTGCCCCATCCCAGCTTTCCTAATCCCTGTTTCTCTGGTGCAGATGGAGGCAGCTACGATGTGGTCAATGACGCCTCCAGCCCCGCGGCCGGCGATTGCTGCGCCCAGCAGAGCTCTGCCCGCCACAACTGGGAGATGAACTACCAAGAGGCAGCCATCTACCTCCAGGTGAGCCCTGCTGGAGCCTGGCAGAGCAACTGCAGGGATTTCAGTGCTTCTTGGTCATGGGACACAAACAGCTTCTGTCTGAGGCTGAAAATGGGGTGCTTTGCTGTGGGTTCTGCTTGGGGAGTGGGGCGATGCTGGAGCACCTCCAGATGGGCTCTGGGAAGGTCRTTTGGGAGCAACTGAACAATGGAATATCCACCCCTGGCAGTGCCAAGGACTGTAGTGGGTGGGGGATSCAGCACGTGGTCAGTTGTGCCACCTTGCCATGGAGATTTCTGTTGCTGGTCACAGATCATCATTTCATCCCTGCAGTCTCTCCAGGGGGAAAGATCAGTGCTCTTCAGCTCTGGAAGTGCAGGTCCAGTCCTGCCTTGGCCACAGGRTGGGTGGGTGGCCCAGATAGTGCCAGTCACATCCTGCAGGTCATGTAGGAGAGAAGGCAGAGGGTTTSATTTCTGCAGGAAGAAAGGATGCTGGGATGAGGATCAGCCCAGGAGTGAAATTTGCAGTATTGAGAATAACAAACAATCAAATCCCACCCATGCTCCACTTACAGAAACACCATCTTTGCTGCAAGAATGGCATCCTGGTTTTAGGGTTGTGCATCTGGTGTGAGGAATCAGCCACCAAAACTGAGCTTCTCCCAGAGCTGTCCAGTCTGAAATGATTGCTGGTTTCATGACTTCCAGTCCTTCTTCCTTCTCTTTGTTCCCTTTCAAAGCTCTGAGGTGCTTTGGACCCAATTTGGATTGTATTTTTTTTTTGTTTAAGCCACTGCAAGGTGACAGAAACCATTTGTTCCTCTCTGCCCTGACCCCAGAGGACTGAAAAATTTCACTTCTCGGATATTTTAAAGTGGTGTAGGCTGGACCTTGGCAATCCTTGAGCTCCGTGGTGTGCTGGAGCAGCCCTGGCAATRGCAGGGTGACTCCAGCCTCCCTCCCAGGCTTTTGTTTAAACTCCTGATTATCAGAGCAGCTCTGCAAAGGGTCATTGAGCTGCTGGTAATGGGCACAGCAGSCCTGGCCCTTCGGATGGGGATGATTCCTGCTGCTGCCCTGAGCAATGGCCACGCTGACTCTGTCCTTGAAATGAGGCACAATCACTCCAAGAGTGTTCTGTGAGCAGCAGCTGCAGGGAAGTGTTGGCTGTGGATAAGGGGGCTTTGCTGCCCAGCCATGTTTGGGATTGCCTGGCCACCAAGAGGCTGGATTTTGTTTTTTTTGACATTCTGCAAGTGTGTCCTGCCAGGTGTGAATGGGAATCACCCTGCAGATCTCAGCCTGGGCTCTTTGGGGCTGGCTCTGCCCTACCCCAGCCTGGCTCTSTGACCCCTCAGTGCTTGTTCAGAAACCCAAAATGAGAAACTTTGGGAACCCTCCTGGGTAAGTCTGGAGAATGCTTCACGCCTAAAGGAGAGTTCTCCAACCTCGTTACTCGTTTGCAGTCACAGTTATTCTGTTTTGATGGTGATAGCTTGGCTGTCCTCACTGTAATTGCTTACCAGGAAAGATGTTAATTTAAACAAAACMTCACCACTTCTTGTGCATCCATGTGGCCCTGCTGGGCAAAAGTGATCTCTTATGACAGTTCCGAAGAGGCTGCAAGTTTCCTGTGAGTGACAAAGGCTCCCTCGCCAAAATTGTTGACTCAAGAAAGAGAAGAAGCTGTTGGGTGGTTCTGCATGGAAACCCTCCAAAATTTCCTCAAACTAAGTTTCATCCTCAGGGTAAAAATAGTCACGAGAAACAGTCAACTGATTTGAAAATCCATAGTAGGCAAAGTGTTAAGATGGAGTATCTGACCTTTTAATGTTAATTAAGCTTTCTAGTTAAGAGGGAATGACAAATCAGCAGAGAGACTTGTTAATTTTACRTGGAGCCTGTCTTACATTCCTGAASCAGAAAACATTTTGTGTGCTCCAGTGTTTTCTCCCAGACATTTTGCAAGGCCAAGATAAGGAGGAACAACTGTCAGCCAGGTGCCCTGGRGCTTATCTGGGTGTTTTCTCCTTCTGTCCTGGAGAAGTTGAATCAAATAACTCTAAACATGTGGAAGTGGTTGCAAGTAAATGAAGTGCTGTGTTTATGTTGGGATGTTRGCTGAAGTTTTTTTGCCTGCCTTTATAAACCCTCCCAGCTCTCTACCTCATTGAAATACAATTTCTTCAGGGCTTTCTGAAGCAGGAGTTTGTGGATATTAAATAGTTTCATTGCTGAGATGTGCTTATGAGCAGAAGRGGATGTCCCATGTGTGTGGAGTCCATTCCTCAATAAAAATGTCAACAACAGGCTGTGAATGGGAATAGTCTGTTGGGAATTGGCCCTAATCCCTATAAAAGTCTCCATTGTTTCCTCATTTAAAGCACTGAGAGTCACTAATACTGTTCTCTTCTTTATTCCTGCTGCCTTAGGAAGGAGAAAACAATGACAAGTTCTTCACTCACCCCAAAAATGCCAAAGCACTCGCTGCCTACCTCTTTGCACACAACCACCTTTTCTACCTGATGGAGCTGAGCACGGCCCTGCTGCTGCTGCTGYTGTCCCTCTGCGAGGCTCCAGCAGTGCCCATGCTCCGTCTGGGCATCTTTGTAAGTACCTGGGGCCTCGGTGGGGAAGGCTGCTTGCTGTGCAGTGTGGCTAAGAGGRAAAGGATGGTCAAAGAGGAAGCAGGAGGCAGTAAGAGGAAAGGATCCACCTGGCTGGTTCTGTAAATTGTTGGCAGCAGATAGGCCAGCCAGCAAAACTTCCTTTTTCCATCTGATCTGGGCAGACCACAATGGAAGTGACAYTCATTTTGTGTTATCAATTTGTGCAGTTCCTAATTTTGTAACAGAAATGAGTGGGTTTTTTGCTTTTTTTTTGAGATAACTCAGCAATCTTTGTGCTTTGATGGGGTGGTTCCAAAGCTGTTGTCAGGTGCCATTACCCCAGCCCCACCACTGGTTCCTGGAACACAGATCAGGACCCTCCCTGTGCTTGTCCAGAATGTCTGATYCAAGAGAAAACCCTTTTCTGTGTCAAATCTCTCTGCCCAGCAGCTCTCCTTCCTGTGTTTCACTAAAAAAATTTACAGTCTTCATGTTTTTTCAGAGYGTTTCTGCTCAGGCTGTTGGTGTCTTGGGTTTTTGTTTCATTAAGCTTTTTCATGTATTTCTCAAGCCCAGAAGGGAGGTGGATTTCAGGAAATTCTGTCCTGGTACTCATTACAAAAAAATTGGACAGGCTTTAATAAAAACACAAAGTAGGAAATACAGAAATGTTGAAAACTATATTAGCTTTAAAAGAGTGGCTTGTGGTTTTCTTGCATGGTACGGRGCTGTGCTAGACTGTTGTCAAACCCTCCTGCTCCTTGGAAAAGGAGGGCAGAAGCCTCTGCTGTGCTGCTGTTCTCACCAAACCTGTGTTGGGGCAGGTCCAYGCGACCCTGGAGCTCTTCGCGTTAATCGTGGTCGTCTTCGAGCTCTCGATGAAGATGAGGTGGCTGGGCTTCCAAACTTTTATCAGGCACAAAAGGACCATGGTGAAGGTGAGTTGTCTGCTTGGCTGTCAGGGTTTTTTCCCTTGAGTACCTCCAAGAACTAAAGAGGCAGATGAAACCCTGGCCAGGGATGACGCAGCCATCACATCCCCACCACCAGATGATTCATGCGAGACCTCTACACTGTCCAGGCCACATCCCATCCTTAAAATGTCCAGATAAACAGGTTGTCAGCCTGAGCTGTCCCTTCCCCAGGCTGACTGCTGCTGTTCCTCTCCTCTCCCTGCCTTGCAGACCTGCGTGCTGTTGGTGCAGTTCATCGAGGCCATCGTGGTGCTGGTGCGCCAGACCTCGCACGTGCGCATCACCCGCGCCCTGCGCTGCATCTTCCTTGTGGACTGTCGCTACTGCGGGGCTGTCAGAAGGTGATGCTGGCCCTCCTGGGCTTGGGMTGGAGGGAGAGCATTCAGATCCTGCAGGAATCCCAGGGAAATCAGAGAAAATCCCAGGGAAATCAKTTATTCACTAGCGTTTGTGTTGGAGATGGTTGTGCTGTGACCTCAGTGTGGGCGTGCTGATGGCACACAGGGTTTGGGTGTGTGACCAGCCCAGGGGTGTGGCTGGCCTGGCTCTGCTCCCTGCCTTGCCTGTGAACTGCACAGTGAATCAGAGCTGGGCTGCAGTCTGGAGAAGGAGAGTTGACAGCGTGACATTAGTGCTGTTTGCAGTACCTGAGAGCTGACTGCAAAGGACAGATGGGTAGCTTGGAARCGATCTTGATTTAGCAAGATTTCCACTTTTAATCCTTGGAGGGAGTGGGAAGAAGGCCCTCAAGTGTGGTATGGTGATGGTGGTTTTTTTTTTTTCCTCCTGACAACCTGGAGAAGTAAACATGCAAGTTTTAGTTTATTAATGTTTTCTTATTTTACAGAAATCTGCGACAGATCTTCCAGTCCCTCCCACCATTTATTGACATCCTTCTCCTCCTGCTTTTCTTCATGGTGATATTTGCTATTCTGGGTGAGTTGTATTTATGGAAGGTGAAGTGATGCTTTTAACCAGCGACTGTCCAAAAGCAACACAAACAGCCTGGATGAATCTAAAACTGATCTCAGTGTTCCCAGGATCCTCCATTTATCCCATTTCATCTGYAGCCATCTGGGAGGCAGAGTTAAAGCACACAAAAAATCTGAAAGCTGGGTATTTGATTTTGAGACAAAAGTCCTTCTGACCTCTTCCAGGGCATAGTCRTGTGTGTTTTCCAGTTCTGCTTCCACCAGCTGTTCCTCAGTCSTGCCAGTTTAATCTGCATCCCCACAAATGCCTGTGTCTGTGCTGTACCTGCTGCAGTCCAAACCATCCCCAGAAAGTTCATTTTATGAAGGGACCAATGAAATGCCAGTGACATCTATTGGCAAGTCCCTCTGGGGAAAGTCCTCCAGATATTCCCATTTTCAGGGTGTCAGAGAATATTTACTCTTAGTGGGACTTTCCTTTTGGGAGCTGCTCCCTGCTTGTTTTTGAACTGATTTTATTTTTGTTTGTTCTTTCTCCTTTCTCTCCTCCTCTGCTTTCTCTGCTGTTTCTCTAGGTTTTTACTTGTTTTCTCCTAACCACTCTGATCCGGTGAGTATCTTGATTCTTTCACTAAGAGTCCAACATTCCAGTGCAGACACGGTTTATTCCATGTGAGGCCAAAAGCTGGCTGGCCTGAGGCTGCCTGGCAGTGTCACCCTGCTTTGCCCTCTGCTGGGAACAAACTCTGTGAAGGGAAATTCCTCCAAGACAGGSTGTCCCAAAGGGAACATTCACAGAGTTGTTCCCTGTTCTTGATGCCTTCATTCAGCCAAAAGAGCCACCTGCCACTGTCCCCAGGGGAGGAGGTGTCTGGGGGAAAGCTCAGCCACTTCCACTGCTGTGGTCAGAGTCTGGCTGCTGCTGGTTCCTGCTGCTGGCTGGGAGAAACTGCTGATAAAAATGTGTAGATGGGCTTTTAGTTTAACCCTGCACACGCCATCTCTCAGGGAACTTTGAAAAGAACCAGTGCTGAAGCACTTTTCCCTAGGAAAGGCATCAGGGAATTGTGGGGTGCCTGTATCCAAAGGGGCTGGGGGGGCTGGTTGGTTTTTTTTTGAACAAAATGTCCCTGTGAAGTCCTGCTTGCATTTTGTCATGGGAATTTTTCCCTTTCAGTACTTCAATACCTTAGAGAACAGCCTGGTGAATCTCTTCGTGCTTTTGACCACTTCAAAGTAAGTTCATGCTCTTCTATCTCAGCCTTTGCCTTTGTCCCYGAGGAGTCTGGCAGAGCCAAGAGTTTATCTGCAGAAATGCTCTGTCTCCAAACGTGTGACCCCTTCCCTCTGCCTGAGACAGAGAGATTGCCAGGGTCAGCCTGCATGGGAAGAGCTGCTGTTTCATTTTCCTTTAGGACACTSTGGCCTCAGCTGCAGAGTTATCTCTAAGGACTCAGACCTCTTCATCACTGTGAGGGCAATAAGAGGGGAAACAGCTTTATAGGGCCTTGGTCCAAGAAGGGAAAGTTTGTGTTTGGACTCCTTTGTCAGCCAACAGCTGGGAAATAACTTCCCATTCCTGTGCTGCAGTTCTGCTATCTGCTAGGAAATTGGGATAACAGCAGTGGGTAAATATTGATCTGCTGTCAGGGGGAGCCCTGAGGATTAGGAAATCAGCAAAGGATGGAATAAATCTGAGGTTGTAACACTTACACCGAGGTTGTACTGCTTTATCAAAGCACGGCCCTTAACCACACCACAAATCCCATTTGTGGGATGCCAGATTTTTTTTTTTTTTTGTGTGTGTGTATGTTTTGCACAAATGTGCAGATCTTCAGATGTGAGTTTATACACACACACCCCGTGCCTCTTGCCCGTGCAGTGGGATGTGTGACATGAASTGTTTGCTGTTAAAACCTGTGTGCTTTGGGGTGCAGCTTCCCCGATGTGATGATGCCATCCTACGCCCGGAACCCCTGGTCCTGTGTCTTCTTCATCGTGTACCTCTCCATCGAGCTCTACTTCATCATGAACTTGGTGAGCCCCAGGGAAGCACTTCACTTCCCTCTGCCTGATTTTGGAGCTCATTGCTSAGCAGAGCCTTCCCCATTCCCAAAACTGCTCTGTAATCATCTCTGACCCTTTGGCAGAATCCTTCTAGAAATGGCAGCCTGGTCAGAGATAGAGCTCTTTTAATGTCTAACCATGAGGAATTGAACTAAATCACAGAAAACCAAATTATACCTGCGTCTTTCAGCTTCTCTCACATTAATACCRTGCTTGGAGTGACATACTCCATTGCATGAAATTTATTGTCCTTCTCTGTCTTAATTATTTATCATAAAATGGCATTTTATTATCTGTACTTGCCTGAGATACTTTGTAAATCAGTTTGAAGGGGATGGAATTACTCAGTATGGCAGGACTGGAGTGCTGATCAGTGCAGTGTGGGTGCACAGCTGCTCAGGGGAAGATGGGAGGGCTGGGAAAGGCTTTGCCAAAGGAGATGAGGAATTCTGCAGCCAGAGGGGATGGATTTGGTGCTTGTGGCTGGATTTCACTTCTCGTGTCCCAGATCGAGGGTTAGCTTTGATATGTGTTAGCCAAAGCTCCCGTGGCAGGGTGAGTCCAGAGAGCAGCCCTCAAACCCTGCTTTCCAGGAACAGATCAGGCCRTTTCAATAAACCTTTTGATACGGTTTTCTGTTGGCATTTGTGTGGTTTAGCCTTAGCTCTTAAAACCCCCAGCAAGTTTGGAGAGGCCAGAAACATCTGGACGTCCTCCAAAAAGTGGATCAGTGCAGTGAGCTTGGGGATCCCTTTGTGGGATCCCTTTGTAGGATCTCTTRTGCCAGTTGTGTCCCACTCCATCAGCGTTCCTGCTGCAGTCTGTGCCTCTCTTGCCTCCCTGAAGCCCTGCAGAGTCTAAGGACTAAAATTCCACTCTCTCTGCTGTCTCCTCAGCTCCTGGCTGTTGTGTTTGACACTTTCAATGACATTGAGAAGAGGAAGTTCAAGTCGCTGCTGCTGCACAAGCGCACGGCCATCCAGCACGCGTACCGGCTGCTGGTCACCAAACAGGTACAAACAGCACCCCGGGCTGGGCTGCCCCAACAGCACCTCCCAAAAAAAAGGGATTTATCTCTGTTGGTTGTGCTCAGACTCACCAGGGGCTGGTGGTTTTTTCATTTGTGTAACTTGTTCATGGCTGTTTCTGGAGAAGAAGCGGAATGCTCTGAATTTCAGTGCTACGTGAGGTTATGGATTGATGAAATGAGGGAAATTTGCTCTGGAGCGCATGTGATCATTGATTTCTCTCTGATTCAGTTTGAGTCACCCGAGGACTCGTTTGGCTTAGCAGGCAGCAGTGCTGAGAGGAGGGATGGGTCATACAATCAAAGATAWAATCCATTTTCTAGATCCTGCACGAGTGAATGGTGCAGAAACAGAAGGAATTCACCTACAAACAACTCTTTACAAGCACTTGGGGGAGAAGGTTGATTTCTCACTKAACTTGTTGGAGCAGCAAGAGAAATAAGACCCAAAAATAACTAACCCACTTCTGGTGGATTGGTTCATGTTCAGTGCACATAGCTGATGGTGTTAAAAAGGGGCCATAGGGGATCTGTCAAGCTGCCTGCTGATTTCCCAAGGAGAGGGGTTGAACTCTGCTTGGGGTGCCTTCTTGGACAATTCTCAGGTGATGGGACAGCRGGGATCAGTTCTGCATTTCCTGGAGGGCTCAGTTGTCAGGGGGCCTTTCTGATCTCTGTGCCCTGGGATAAGCTTGGGCTGTTAAAGTGAGCTTGGGGAGCTCAGTTATAATGTATGAAATCCCTCTTAAAACACAGCCACAGTGAGAATTAAAAGCCTCTGTGTGTTCCTGYCTGATGCTGCTGCTTCTGACAGCGTTCCTTTGTTCCCAGAGGCCGTCTGGAATTTCCTTCAAGCACTTCGAAGGGCTGCTGCGGTTCTACAAGCCTCGCATGTGTGCCCGGGAGAGATATCTCACCTTCAAGGCACTGAACCAGAGCAATACCCCTTTAGTCAGGTAGGATGGTCCCACTGCTGCAGCCAGAGCAGGGAGGATGCTCCACTCCCTGCAGGGCTGTGCTCTGGGGAGTTTTTCTGGGGAAGCAGGGAGCTGGGAGGGGTGGCTACCCTGCGAGCTGAGTTTTTCCTTGGGAGGTGATGGAGTTGCTGCGTGCCCTCTTGTGGATACAGCACTGTGCTGGCACTCACAGGCACGATCTGCTTCCCCTTCCCCTTTCCCTTCCCCTTGCCCTGCCAGAGCAGAGAGCCAGGAGCTGGGGAGCCCGTGAGCCCGAGCATTTCCTCACACGGCACAGCCTCGCATCTTAACATGGTTTGGTTTTTTTCTTTGCTTTTCCCAGCAGCTGGCTGTCCCCCCCAGGGTTTTGTTAATTAAAATCTGGTTCTGCTGGCGCTTTCAGGACTGCCATCCTCTGTGTTATGAGGCAGAGAATTGCCATTCYGGTGGGTGGGTGCAGCTAACTCCAGCCAGCAAGGAAGCAGAGGGAATTAGAGCAGGAGACCTTCTCTTCCTTTTCCTTTGTTCTGGCCACAGACAGGCTCCAAGTGACTCTCCTGTGAAACTGGTGCTGATRCTGCTCCTTGAAGTCAAGTGCCACGGAGAAGTATTGAAAAGCATGGAGAGAAAGACTGAGTTGGGAAATTTAGGCTCCTAATGTCAGCAGTAAGAGCCTGAGAAGTTCAGCATCCTCACTTTTCAGACGCGTAAAAGCTGTTACAGGCCTGACCCCGAGCACCTAGACAGGCACTCATGTTCTATGAGTTTCTCTGCTTTCATGTCCTTTCTCAAACTTCATTTTTACCTTGAAAAGAAAATGTGCAAAGATGTTAGAAAAGGGCTGTGYGAGTAATTAAGACGGTCCAGGACTTCTTCATGAAGAGCAGTGCAATCTCTATCCCTTGGAGGTGGCATCTAAGCCTCAGGTCTTCCCTCTCTGTGGTAAAATTCCGAATTTCAGTGGATTCAGGGTTTCCCTTAAGGGCTGAGGCATTACAGAAYGGAGATTCTGGCTATTGTCAGCCAGGAACCTTTGGCCAGACTGGGAAGAGGTCAGTGCTGAATTCTGACAGCTGTGGCTGCAGTTCTAATGAGGAGTTAATAACTTCAGGGRACACTCTGCTGGTGATACCTGACAAGAACAAGTAAAAATCCACTYACCCTCAAGGCTCTGATGGGATGTTTCTTTCTGTTTTGCAGTCTAAAGGATTTCTACAATTTCTATGAAGTTGTTGGCTTAAAATGGAAGGTGAGTGCTTGTTGGGTGGAGAAGAGGGAGGGAGGAAGTGTGTGTGGGAGAGAGAGAGAGAAAAGGAGTGTTTAGAGAGAAGCTGGGTAAGAAAGGCAGTCTGAGAGGAGCAGGTGATGGGGGTAAGGTGGGTCTCCATCCCTGCCCTGTTTTTGTGTGGACACAGCAGTGGCTGCTGCTGACCGTGGCTGTTCTGCTTCCAGGCGAAGCGAAACCGCGAGCACTGGTTTGACGACCTTCCACGGACTGCATTCCTTATTTTTAAAGGTAGAGATGCCTTAGGATTTTTAGCTTCTATATTTTTATCTATCTATATTGTAATTCTGTAGTGGACAGTGCYAGCTACTGTTCTCTCATTTTTAGACAAAACAATTCYTCKCTAGGCCYCAAACTCAAGGACACCTCACTGCCTCAGGGCCCCAAAATRTGTRAACAGCAGTGGAATTGGGGGGAGCAGCTTGGGGGGATTGACAGCAYCACCTGAAGGTGGAATTGGAGAATTGGGGCTCAATATGTTAATAAGACACWTACAAAGAACTTACAAGGTGAAGATCTCGTGACTCAGTGTCCATTTTGGATGTAGCCTTATGAAGAGGCTCTGTCTGCCCTGAATGTACCTGTAGGCCTACATCAAATTTGCCTGCTTTTATTCTCCTAACTTTATCTGGCCCTGTTTTAAGCATCAGTAGCACACTCTTCTCACAGCAGCATGTGTTCACCTCACAGAAGGAGTATTTCTTTACAAAAACAGGACACTCTGAAGGGGATTTCTCTCATGGCCCTGCCAAACACCTGAGGGAAGGCCTCCCAACCTCGTCCCTGTGTATCCGAGCCTTGTATTCAGAGTCTCCAGGGAAGATTCTGTCATGCAGATATTCCTGCAGTGGCTGTGGGGTGGGATTTGGGTTGCCATGAAGGCTGTTGGGCTGCCTGATCCCAGGATGTGCCTGCAGCTCCCATTCAGGTCAAGTCCAGCAGTTTGGGATGGGAAAAGCATCCTGGAACACCCCTCAGAGTAATCTCTCTTGCCRGTGTGATTGGCCTTCTGTATCCCAGGTTTCCTGGCTGGATGTGRCCATGCAGAATTAAGAATTTAGATGATCTGCAGCTCCTCTGAGGTGGTGCTTGCTCCTGGGGAAAAGCTGACACCTTCTGATCCAAACTCAGCTGCCACAGGAGCCCTCAGAGCCCTCTGATGCACCCATCCATCCTTGTCCCAAACACAGAGGGGACCTGCTCTCACCTCTGTGCACACCCCAGAACCAGGACACAGACACAAATCAGGCCATCCTGAGGGCTGGGGGTAATGACTTCATTGCTGCTGAAATTCTAAAGGATATTTAGACTTGTTCCCAAAAAGTCAAAATTAATAATCTGCTGACTGGTTTAGCTTCTGTGCTGAGGAGTGGTAGGAAAAATGTCTGTTAGGGGAAAAATGGAGTGATCTGTGGTGTGGAGGATGTTGTGAACATTTATTTTGTCATCCTTTCCTTCATGCAGGCATCAACATCCTGGTGAAGTCCCGTGTGTTCCARTACACCATGTGTGAGTAGAAGTAACAAGCTCTCTCTGCTCGGCTCCCTTGCTCCTGTGAATCCTCTGTGCTGTGTCTGCAAGGGCTTGGGGTGGTCTGAGCTGTGATTCAGGGACAAATTTTGGTGTTTTTGTGGAGAGGGATGGAGCTGCTTCGTTGTACCAGCTCTTGTTCTGGGAGGTTCCCTGGCTCACTACACAGCACCCCCGGGGCTGGAGCTGTAGGAATCATCTTGTTGCCTTTAGATGGGGGGGTGAGGAGCTTCCCCAAGCCTTGGRGGGTTCATCTTGCAGCTGGGTGAGGAACCACCTTGCGGTCACCCATGTTCTGTTTGCTCTCGTGGAGGTGTGAGCATCCTCACTGCTGGAGGGATTGCTTGGTCCCTGAGCTGCCTGTGACAAGGAGTCTGTGCTCGTGTCTTCCAGAGGGGAA